CCCCTCATAACCCCCCTCACACACACACACCCCGTTGCCCGCCAACACCCCCCCGCCGCCGCTCCCCGCCCCCGCCCGGGCTTGCGAACAGCCTGTGCGGTGCTGTGTGGGCGCATCTCGGGTCAGATTGGGCCCGGAGTGCCGTACGCTGGTCATTTGAAAAAAAAAAGAAAAAAAGAAAAAAAAAATATATAAAAATCTGTCTCTGGGAGGAACTTGAGGGAGCGAGGTTCAACTCTTGAGAGCGCTCCCGCCTCGGCTGCTCGCAGCGCTTCGGGGCGGGGAGGCGGTGGGGGGGGAACGGTGAACTTTCATTTTCACGCCGCACACCCCAAATCCGCCGCCCTCCCCGCGTCCCAAATTGTGACTGCCCGTCAGGTACCTGGCGGTGGGGTCAGCGCTCCTGTGTACCCCGTCCTCCCCTCCCCCCGCAGGCGGGGAAGGCGAGGCGGAGGTGGCGAGCGGCTGAAAAGCGGCGGAGGGGGAAGGCGGGCGACCGTGCCGCCCGAAGCGCTAGCCTGCACTTGACTTTGTGACTGCTGAAGGATCCCGTCCCGGCAGCTCTCCTCGGGCTGTGCGGACCCCTGCCTTCGCGGAGAGACCCGAGGCATCGCTGCCAGCGGCTCCTCAGGATTTTTGACTTCAGTGGGGTGTGTTTTTTTTGGTCTTTTTTTTTTTTTCCATCCGATACGCTTTTAAAGAGGGAAAAGGAAAGCAGAGGCCTCAGACCTGCAAGCTGTTGTTCCCATGACTTTGGGGAGGATTTTCAAAAGTACATAATGAGAGTTTGGGAGCTCTGTTCCCACTGACTTTCAAAATCTTCACGTCTGTGAGCTAGTCCTCTTACACTCAGCTGGACTGCTTGCAGACGAAATGTTAGCAGGCTCAGGGCCTAATGCTTCTCATGATTCCACTGCTCCCTTCTAGAGCTGCACTGACAAAAATATAAGCAGAACAAGTTTTGAAGGGAGAGGTAATTTCTCTCTCTCTCTCTTTTTTTTTTTTTTTTTTTTTAACCAACTGACACAGTTGAAAACAGCAAGCTTTTGGGCTCGAAAAGCTTAGACCATCATGGCTACGAAAACTACTGCTGCTGCTCAGAAAATATGTAATTCTGGAGCTCCTTAGTGAAAAAGTAGCGCAAAGCAACATGTAAGTAAGCACACAGCTAATATTATGCATTTATGCTATTACATTTTCCTCGGATTTGAAGTTTGGTGTTGCTAAAGAAACCGATTCCCAATTTTTTAAACCAAGCTCTCACTGAAAATTAGCCAGATGAAAAAACTTCAGTTCGTAAAACATTTGTGTTAAAAAGGAGGAAATATAAATGATTTGTGGTGTATTTACATTTTTGCTCTTATTTTATTAAAATTTACCGTGAGTGAAATTTTCAAAAAGTGTGCCTTTCAGCTGAAAAGAATGATAGTAAATGTCTTATAATTTTTTTTTCTGAAGGTTATGTGCCTGTGGAAAGAGGACTTTGCAGTAGAAATAGCAATGAAAGCAGTAAAGAAAAATTTAAAAAATATGATGTTGCTGATACCACTTCCCTGTACTTAGGTTATGTATAGTTTTGCCCTAAAATAATTCCAGTTATTGTTTTTCACCCATTCTTCCAGCCGTAATATAAGTTATAAAAGATAGCAGGTCGTTCTGCTTAACAGGACATGGTACTCTCTTACGTGAATCGCAGTATTGTCCTTTCAGATGTCATTCCTAAGGTTTCATTAAGATTGTTGATAAAAGTGAAATTTTTACATCCCCTAATATATCTAATACTTGCTCTCAGTTTCCATACTTGATGCACACAGGCCCAGATCCTGTACAGACGGAGATGTGTAGTATTATGTGTAAGCACACTGAGTAGTTCTCTTCGTTATTATGCTCTTGTAGTTCAGACCTAAGAAACTAATAGTGATATTACACAACCATTATTCTCAGTACTACTTAGGACTGCATGAAACATAAACCTAACGTAATAGTCTTCATTCACATCTGCCATTCATATCTCTTAAGTTAAATAATGCACAATTATAATAATTTAAGGATCAGAACGGGTAAATATTTAACTGAGTGTCAGAACAAGTGAGAAAGGCAACTGCTATAGTCTAAAAATCCATGTCATATGAGGTGGGTATTGCATTCTCTGGCTGTAGCATCTGGGGGAGGATCATCAGTTTGTTTCCTCAGTGACTAGTGAAGCCAAAAAGTCACAGCAGGAACACAGCTGAGGACAGAAGGGAGAGAAGAGGATTTTGAGCCTCACCAAAAGTGATGTCAATTCTTCAGAGCGAATTTCCATCCCAAGCAACTTGGGCTCATCAGAGTGGTGGAAGTCTTATCTGCTGTGGTAGCAAGTGTGAGGTTAAGCTGCAGTTTCTATAATGGACTCCTTTCCTCCTACAGTTCTCATTACAGCACTACCTGAACACCTTGTAGTAGTGCCTGTTCTCTGTTACAGATTCCTCTCCTCAGAGAGTGTCATTATACTGTCAGAGACTCCCCTCACACTGTAGTAAGTGACATGACCAGCATTTGTCATATTATCTGTTCTTTTGCTGCCAGGGGAAGGAGCATGTGCAGTTGAATGTTTTCGGTTTACTTTATCTGTCTTTTCTTCCATATACGTGTTATGTATTTACATTAGTGAGGCAAGGTCAAAGTAATGTGTTTTGTTCTTCAAGCAAAATGCAGTTAGGTTTCTGATGGCCCTTGGCTTCTAGGCACATTCATTCCATAGACTTGCACCAGCCCCGAGAAAGTTCTGTCTCTAGAAATGATAGCTTTCCCCGTCTTGTTGCACAAGTTCTTTTATGTCAGAAGAGGGAAACTGTTGACAACTGGATCCAGTCTGGAGACCTAGTAGGCATTTCTTTAGGAATCCTGGATTTAGGCCCTGGAGGATCTTGACACCCTGAATTTGTAATTTAAAATTCTAGAGAAAATCAGTATAGAGCGGAAGAGAGGGACTTAACAATAACCCACATCCCCTCAGCTTCCTGTACTTGGAGTTTCCTATATGCAGCAGACTTTGTGCTTGGATATACTGAATTGCCTAGGTCCAGTTGAGAGGTGGCAAAACCAAAGCAAGGTACTTATCTGCCAAAATGGCACAGAAGCTCACAGCTAGTCAGGGGTGGTTAGAGAGCTGGAGGCTGTCTTCTGACTCAGGCACACATTACTTTACAAATTACCTAGCTATGTGTTTCTAAGATTTATTTTACAACTATGAGGATTAGAGGAACTTGTTGTAATGAAAACTGGCACCGTGTCATTACCGTGTAACTTTTTAGTTAGATTCTTTGGCTTGCCTGAGTACTTGCGTGTTTTTCCATTACCTTCATCTGGTCCAGTTCCTAGGTAAGTTAGACCAGTTGGAGGGCACCACGGTACACCCACATCTCTTCAGTAATTGCACATCTACATATTATTTTGGTACCCTGTGCTTGTATGACATATGGACATACAGCCAGTAGGAATTCCAAATTTTTTTCTGTTTATTTTTCAAATTTGAGCCCTGCCTTTCCCCCCATCCTCATCCAGCCTTCTAGATCCCTGTTATAGATTCATCTAAGCCTCCCTTCAGACCTCTTCTGTAAATTCGATATCAGTTGGAGTTTAAAGTTTCAGTTTAATAACCTAGTAACCGTAGTTGAACGTCCTCTTCCACGTATGAGTTTTCTACTTCCTTCTGTAGCCATTCACTCTGTGATTTACCCTGACAAATACAGGATTTGGAATTCATTACTTTTGCAATTTCAGTCTGCTAGCAATGATAGAGGTTGTAATCTAGAAAGGATTGAAGTGGACAGCATTTACTATTGTACAGTGAAAACAGAGTTCTGAATTTGCCAGTATAGACCTGATCTAGGGATGCTTCTGTAGGCAGTAAGGACTGCCAGAAGTATGTGCTGGCTTAGGGCTTGCATCTGCTTTATTAGATTTCCTATAAACTTCCAGATGAAAAAAAAACCAACCTAGCATTTTTTTTTTACTGTAGACTACCTCCTGAGTTTGCAATAGCCGACTTTCAATTTAAGGGTTTTTTTCAGCCTCTAAAATGCTCAATGTAGCATAAAGACTAATGGTGTAGTCGAAAGGTTGGACTCACTATATTTCATTCAGATCTTATAATACCCACTCTAACATAGCTATAGGCCTGACTCATAATAATGAACATATCCCTGAGGATTTAAGAAAGATTTGTTATTAAACTTAGGTTCTGTGGTAAACTTTTGCTAAAACAGCTTAACTGTAACTTCTGAATGTTTTAATATTTTTGTGGATTTAATGGTTGTGAAAAGTGCTGGCTTGGTATCTGTGAAAACTGAAGCCTATTCTTTATTCGTGGATTAATTACAGCAGAGCAGTTGCCAAGTGATCTTCTCCACAGCACCCATGAACTTCAGCCTTGAACTGAAGAGGACTCATCAAATGGTGAGAAAATAGAGTGGTTGTCATGACTATTAAGTTATTGAGGGGATGACGTATTATTTTTTTCTTCTTAGCATTGGTTCTGTTATTTAACAGGTATTGGAGTTAGATTTTCATAGGGTAGTTGCTGGGACCATAACCTAACTTCTCCCCCTCCCCCAGTATTTCAGCTCTTAATTTCTCAAGCTTTGCTATCTTCTTAGCTGTCCTTGACTTTTCAAAAACAATTGTCAGCGATGCACTGAATTCATTAGCTAATTTCTTTATTGCTTGCTTTAGCCTCCTGTGCGTGTGCTTAACTCTGTTCACATGAGTAGTTTTGTCAGTAGCACTACTTAGAGGAGTGAAGTTCAGATGCGTGGAATTGTTTGAAAGATGGAAGCTTAAACTTTGCAGATATGTATGCCTGCATTTAAATGAAACGCTACTGAAATGAATGCAGGCGTGAGGGATCTAGAAATCAGGCTTTAGCTGGTACTAATTTGTTTGCTTTTATGCTGCTCAGTTTATTTCTTTTAAGACAGCTTGATGTAAGTTGTTCATTTGCTTCTCTAGTTTCCCAATTTCTGTGAAATTTTGAAATCTGAGCTTCAAAACATTTACAAAATTTTAGTAATGCTTCTAATTCTCCTGAGAAGAACAAAACAGTATTTTATTTAACCATTTTATGACAAGGTGACTGAATCTATAGAGGAACTAATTCTATCTCTAACTCGCTGCCTTAATCAGGTCTTTAATCTTACTCTAGTGCCCTACCTTCATTAAGTAATGATTCTTATATGTATGGATTTATTAAGCATACATCTTAAAAACAGCTATGGATAAAGGATGGAATATTGGTAGCAGGGGGTTATGTGTGTAAGAATATAGTTGTAGAGTGTTGATATTGGTTTCCTGGTCATCTAGATAGGGGACAGCTTAAAATAATGGTGCACAGAGTGATCCATAGTTCAGGAGACAGATCACAATGATCATAAGTTCACAGAATGCTGAGAGGTGCCCCAGACCTTTTTTTGGTATCTCAAGAAGCGAGTGGCTCAATTTCTGTTTTCCTTTAATAACTGTATTGTAGAGTAAGGAGTAAAAGGGACAGAACCCTACTAGCGGCTTATGATTTCCACATTTTCTCCTATCTCTATGGTTGTTACCATAGAGATTGGAATACGGGATATTAACCCTCTCCCAGCTATTTACCAAATTGGGTTTGGAAGTGCAAGTGTGTTTAAATAGACAGGAGAGATGGCGAGCCCTTTATACCAATAACTGATCTACACCCTGTGTTAAGAATTACTTTAGTACTGTTATTAACCACTGAACTAATTTAACCTTTGCTAGGGTTATTTACCATTTCATGTATTAAAAATAAGATTTAATACTTAAGCCAGAAAGAATCAGTAGTTGTGAGGCAGAGTGCGTTGAGATATAGCCCAGAGGTCATTTATTTTTAATACAGATCCAACAATCTGTTTCTTTTTTTTCTTTCTCAGCCACTTTTTCTTTAGTTTTCTTTTTGAGACCTGATTCTTGAATTAACTTTAAGCACTTAACTATTTACATTCTGCTTCATCAAACAATTAATCTTGTACTTAAGTCACAATACTTCCGTGAGTATGGCTTTTGAGAGAAGAGTTTGAATCCACATTAGTCCTTTGCGTCTTGTACTTGACTTTGCCTATCTGATAACCAGTAGGCTGGATCCAGACTAGTGCCAAGGTGTGAGTCTGCATGTTAGCAGGGTAAGGAGTTGGGGCTCAGGTTTGAATGTGTGCTCGATACTACAGACATAGTGGATGATTACAAGAAGATTTAAATTTATTTTTTAATTTAAGCACTTTTTTAGTTGTTTAGCTGAGCAGAGTTTAGATACTCCATATGTTTAAAGTTAAATGGTTCAAGTTAACTGGCTTAAAGGTTTTCCTGAAGCGTTTTTGGAATTGATGTGATTCTTTTGCTTCAGTAAAAGAAGAGCTAGGCCAGCGTCAAACAGTTTTGAAAAGACCATTCTCATTGCTCTGCTAAGAAGATAATTTTGTTTCTTTTATTCCATCCCCTTTTTGGTTAAATCACTTTCACTTCCCTGACTCTTCTTATACCCACTGTTTCCTGCTAATCTTTCCTCTAATGTTCAGTTTTCTATTAACTTTTCCACACTGACTATTCTTTGCCTCTTCTTTTTACTGGAGTTTTGGAGAGGTCATTGTACTTTTTCAGTTTCTTTCCTTCTTTAATCAGTTCCTGGAATCCAACAACAAATAAACCCCTCTGATTTCAACTATGCCTTTTTGGTCAGAAACACACAAGTCAAAATTTAGTGCTGGATCGATAGAAAGCGTAAGCAGAGTACTGTGGATGCCATTTATAAAAAAGGGAACTGGGACTTGCATATTATTAAAAATTATTCCCTAGATTGGGATATCAGGATCTGGATCCAGGCAGTAGGATCAGGATTTTAAGGTGATTCTTTAAAAATCACTATGCTTGTTCTTAAAAAAAACCCCCAAACCAACAAAAACAAAAACAAAACCAACCAAAAACCCCACTAAAGAAAAGTCCAGGTATACTGAATAGATTCATTAGACTTGATGTCAGTGTTCTTTTATTGAGCTACATACCACTGAACCTCTCTTAAGCCTTAGGAGAGACAGCACGGAATTGGAAGAGAAGCAGGGGTCTCCATGAAGGGCAGTCAACTACAGTCTTGGTAAGTTCAAAAAATATATATAAAATTTTATTTCCGTTAAATTTTCACCTTTATGAAGCAACATATATTTAGGGCCCTGTTCACAGTGGGAAAACAAAGCCAGTTTTATTGAAACAGTCTCTGCATTCTCTGGATTCATTTATGCCATCACCACGTAAAAATCTGTGTTTTATTATAGCTGAGTTTGTGGTGTAACTCCTGAATGAAAACAATAAGTGACATAAAATTCATTAGTTATTTTCACAGTGATTATGCTACAGTGTTTTCATGCCCAGTTTGTGAACAAAACAAGATATATAGGATTGTGTTGTCTCCTAATAACTTTTGCATCCACCGCTTAGTTTCAGCTGCATTTGATATAGAGAGAGAGGTCACAAAGTCAAGTTTCTACAATTTGAGTGAAACTTAGCAGCTGGGAGTAGAGAAAGGACTCAAATTAGTGCCCCCAGGGTAGAAAAAGCTGCAGCATGGACTCGGAAATTTTCTGTTCTGTTCCACCTGTTGACTTGCCAGTCAGCGTGCTTGGTTGGTCTGGCAGTCAACACATGCGTAGCTCAGACCTAGCCACAATGTGAGCTGCCTCTTTTTCTCCTAGAAGTCAGAAGCTGGTGTTTTCTGTGGGAATTTAAGGAAATCTGTTTAGAAGGGAATGGGAAACCAGCCAACGTAGTGCCAGCTTGGGATTACTGCACAAGTGTGTTGGTGGCACGCACAAGCACACTGATAGGTAACTAGACTTCATTACTTCTGCTAGTCATGAAAAAACTCTTGGTTTTGCCAGGGCCTTCTAGTCTCCCAAACCACTTGTGAATCATTCCATTTTATGGTAGTTTCTATACCTGGATTAGATGCATGTTTTTCCTGTCCACGTCAGAGAAGGGAACTGTTGAGACAGCTTCAGTATTTCATTTCTTTGACTGTTTGGATGTCAGCTCTGAGCTATTCCTTAGGCTGTCAAAATTGTAAAACTGTGTTTTCAGCTTTCCCCAGAAACTGACTGTAATTTAGACTGCAGCTATGTGTCCCTGACCCATCCTACAACCTACACTCTTGGAGCAGTGCAGGAAACATGCATTGTATTCCAATTAACTTCCTTTGTGAAGAAAGATGTGGAGCTAGGCACAGGGACAGAAAGCAATATTAGGATCTGGCTGTATCAAGTTGCCACATTACATTGCAACTTGGGAATTGCTAAATCTGTAGCTGCATGATTAAGGGCACCATGATTGTCCTGAAAGGTATGGTGTGTCCATGCCTCTCAGTCAGTGAGAAATGCGCAGATCACACTTGCCAGAGGTACTGGTTCACTTGTTTTGCAGGCTCAGGTAGGCAGCGCTAACTTGGCAGATACCTGATATTTTTAAATTTTCTGCGTAATGTTAGACGGGGGGTCAAGATACCTTATATACTTTTTAAACAGAACTTAGCACTGTAGCACTATTCCTTAGAAACAGTTGAATTTCTCAGAATAACAGAAGCCTAAGAGTCATGCATATGAAACATAAAATTTAAAAGCAGTAACATGAGAAGAAGCACTTCTAATTCAATATTGTAAGACAACTGCCTTGAAATTTTTCATAAAGTCTGAAATGTGTATTTTAAATTTTTTTGTTTGTCCTCCTGCCCAGTTGAAAACCATCAGCCTGGCAGCAAGGACTGAAAAACTGTGATACTCTTCTCCATTTTCTGCTTATTTTCATGTCTGTTGTTTCACAAAGTCAAAGCCAGTGAGAGAACAACTGGTCATTTAAAAAAAAAAAAAAAAGACTGCATTCTATTTTTATGGAACTTTTGGTTCTTCTGTTAGATTCTCAAATCCTTTCATTTGGTCCCAGCTTTTTCTTTAGAAAACTATCGTTGTTTCCCTAATGCTACCTGTATTAAAGGAATGAAGAATTGTCTTCTGCATGTTTCTAGGATCTAGTGGTTGTTCTTATAACCTTTATCACCAGTACTCTTGCATAGTGTCACCAGTTAAATATTATTTCATTGAACCTATGGCTAACCTGTTTTTAAATGGTTTATAATATATAAAAACATTGTGACTTACAATATTTTCCTTTTAAAGATCAACATAGATGTGTTTTTAATAAGAAGAGTAAGGTCAGATCATGAATGTTAAGTTTTGTGTGAATAGCAAAGTGGTGGTATATTCTTGTTTAACATTATGTTGTGTGTTTCCAGTGCTTTAAATGATGTTCACTAAGAGCTTAAACTTAGCAAATAATTAATTATAGTTGATTTTCATAAGGATTTTTTTGTTTTAAAAAGCTGTCCCTTTTAGTCTAAAAATGTCTAATACTAAACTACTTTTTACCATGTATTTTCGCCTTGGTCTTGGATGTTGCCATATGTGGTCAGATACTTTTACGATCATGAAGACCTCAGTAAATTCACAGGCCTATGCTGTGTGCCCAAAATGGGTGGGACAGATTTTAAGAAGGCTTAAGCATTGGAAAGCGGCTTGCATCATAGGCCAAAGAAACTAGGGTAATTAATTTTTAGAAAATAATAAATAAAAAATTATATTTCAAATACATATCAGTAAAAGCTCTCATACTGTGCTCTCACTACATGTAAAATCCAGAAGCAATTTTAAGCCAACTTTATTTAAAGAAGGAGCTGCAAATCCCTATAAATAATATGCAACTTAAAGATGTATAGAACTCCTTTATTATGTGCTAAATGCTGTAATAAAACAGGCTATCAGTAGCTTTTGCTGCATGTTACTAATTTAATTTTTTTTATCCTGATATTTTTGCAGGTGTGTGGAGGAACAGGTTCTGTTCTCGCTGTTGCTACTCCCACATACGCGGACTCTGTAACTGATTATGTGTGGGTAGGGCCCTATTGAAATTCAGGAGATTCTGCAATAGTGCAGGGTTCTTTTTGTGAAAGTTCAGTTGCAAGATCAGGACCCTACTGTGACTCCTTACTGTGAATTCTGTCAGTGTATCATTGATTGTGCTGGAACCTGCCTTTTGGGATAATGTAAGTCCTGCTCTTCCCCCAAATGTACATTAGACATGAAATAATCATAAAACATTTCTAATTAGAAAATTAGTATCATTTACATGCATTCTTTTAATTATGTTTTTTTGGCAGTACCAAATAATATATTCCTCAAAACTTCTTAATGGCACTGAGGCTTTGTGGATAGTTGGTCACATGATGAGAAAATTCAGCTGTAAGTACATTGAAATGATTGAATTTTTCAATAGTTAGTCTTTACTGATGTTGACAAACTAATAATGATAAAAAGGTGAATCAAGAGGTTTGACTTATGTCAATTGACTTCAGTTCTTTTTAGAAAATATATAAAATATATCCATTAAGGATTTCGTTACTCTTGGGTAATTCACCATGTGAACCTGGAGTCCTTCCATACTGCTGTTAGGCAGGGAATTTTAATTTATTTGTTTTCTTTATTTTCAGAATAGTGTGTCTCTGACTTGCTCTGTATTTTCAGCCATAAACTTTCTGAAATTTATAGATCTATAAAAACTGTTTATACCACCAATATTTGTGTAGATATTGCACACTGATTTACTAACATAATTGTCTTGCTGAGTTGAACATTGAAATGTTAATAAATATATGCTTGCACTTGTGTCAATGTAACTTGGTTAAATTAAACTAAACTGAGCTGGCATTATGAGTGAATTTGATGATGCATGCTGATTAGCTATAGTCTTAGGCAGGAACTACATACTTTATTGTACCTAAGTACTTTGTGCTTAATCAATAATAATTACCAATATCATATGTCAGTGGATTCACCCAAAATAACTATAAATATCTATGCTTGGATTAAGAAGGAAGCTCTTTTCCTGTAGCTATGGGTACAGTCATTGCTATGAGTCCTATTTTTATATACAAATGAGCAAAAACTACACGTAGGTGTTTACCCTGTATAACAAAAGGGGTATTATAAACTCCATGCCCTTTTTTGTGATGCCGTATTTCCTTTCTGGTATTCAAATACACAAGTGTTTTCAATGGGGTCTTAGTATCTGAAAAACGGAAGAACTGGAAATGTTATTGAATTTGTGAATAATTATTAAGGGGCTGTAAAGGTCTAGAGCAGTTGTATGTAAGGACAATTAGACATTCTTTCCCATGGAGCAAGGACACAGATAATAATTGGTGAGTAAAGATTAAGGAGGACAGGATTTTTTTTTTTTTTATTGCTTGACACAAGAGCAGCATGAAGTTTGAAGAAAGAGCAAGACCAAAGAAGAAATCATAAACTCAGATCAAAAGCAGACTAGAGAGTCCAAATAAAAAACAAACAAACAAACAAAAAACAAAATAAGGAAAACCAAAAACCAGAAAATGGATGGCAAAAATATGGCCAAAAGGAGAACTAAATGCATACCTACTGGTATTTCTCATTGCACTGAATATGTGATAGATTTAAGTTTAAAACTTTCAGTAAGTGTTTTTCTATAATTTTTTTTTTCTTCTGGAGAGGAGTATATGGGCTTTGAAGAAGACTCAGTGACTAGTTGTAAATTACCTGTATAAATTGGAGACTTGAGATGACAGTTACAGCTAAGAACAGAGGACAATGGGTTATGTATGCTAAACTATGATTAGTGCTAAGCAGAAGCCATAATTTCTTCTTCAAACACAGAACTTAATGATTTTGAAATGTATCATCTTCAACAGAGCTCAAAACATAATTTCATTATGTTCATTACAGGATGGGAACTTTCGAAGTTCTAGTTTAAAAACAGTGATTCTTTTGAGATTTTGCAATATAAAATGAAATTGAGATTTTTCAATATGAAATGAAATCAAGATTTGAGAACATTGGATGTTTCATTTTGCATTAAAAAAAATCTCGATCAGCATATTTTGTTTTTAAAATGTTTAGACCTAATGGTTTACTATTTTCACCTTTTAATCCTATGGGCCATATTTATTCTTACTTGCACTAAGTTGGGTAAAAGAACGAAAAGGAGAGGGAGATAAAGGTGACTGCAAAAAAACCCCAAACACAGCCCTCTAGCTCTGCCCGCCCTGCCCCAAACCAGATCAAAAGAAGTGCCTCAGGATAGATCTAGTTTCAGAGGAGAAAAGTGACATGCTAGTGAGTGGGGTATGAGGAATCCCCTGGGTGTTTCATAGGTATCCACGTTTTTCACTCATCACCACTGAGAGACAGATCACCTAGGTGTGACTGCTTCTCCTTCCTGTGATGGCAACTTCTCAGTACTTTTGAGGGAGATAACGTCAGGGCATAGCTCTGTCCCCCATGCGGTAGCGCTGCTACAAATACTATTTGGAAGAAAAGGAACTCTGAATTGTCTCCGGCTGTAACCAGCTCTCCACTACTCACTGCTGCTAACCCCCATTGCTGAGCACCTGATCTGATTGTTTCTTTGGTTAACTCATGCCGTGATGCCGTAAATGACTGAAACTAGGAGAACAGCAAGAAAGCAGATACCAAGAGAAGGAGTTGATGTTGTGGAATGTAGGGAGTGGGCATTTGCTACACAGCTACACATTGTGTGGGCTTGGGAATACTTCAAGAGCTGGAATACCAAACTACAGCAACAGAAAGTAAGTTTCCTTTAGTGGCAGACTGAGGCAATAGCCCTGGTTCTATGCATTAAGAAGAGCCAAGGAATGTGCATTGAACATTCAGCATGTTAGTAGTTGTAAGTTTAAGTTGTGAGATCTTCTCTGCTGCTGTTTGCACTTGGCTTGTATCGTGACTGTCCTGTCTTCAAGCTGGATGTAGCATGTTTTTTTTAATGTTGAATGAGGCACCCATCATATTATAACGTCACGAACATTGTTTTTCTTCAACCCTTGAAAGTCAAAACATGGTAACCTAGATAGCTGTAATAAGTTAGTAATAAACGTGACATGAAAGAATTTTCTCATTTCACAGTATTTATAGGAAAAACAATGTTTTATGTGTTTCATATACGTCCTCCCATCTTATTTTCCACTCCTAAGCAGATCTAATGCATGAAAATTTTCTTCAGTAGTGCCCTCAGTTCTTTATTTTGGTAGGTTTTTTTCATAATTAGGTTAGGGCCCTCACAAAACCTCTCTGCATCCTCTATGAATGACACCATCATGCTGTCATTTGTTTTAAGCCATCAAATCTAGGCTAAACCTGAGTTTTGGGAATCTTTTTCCAACCCCTTAAGGATGGTCTTTCTTCTCTGTCAGATGATAATATTTTTCATCCAGGTTTTCTGTGGATCATGTCTTTATTAGAAAGTCTTTTTCTTTTGCCCTGACAAATGCAGTCTTGCCATGCTTGTTATCTAGTCAAAAAGTGCTACTCTGCTGTAAATACCAGTTTCCAAACTTAGTCCTTTGGTATTTTCAATTTCCTCCTTCAGTTTAAAGCAATAAAGATAAGTTATCTGTCTTTATTTTCAAGGCCCATCAAGACTACTTCTACCTGATACCTCTCCTTCAGTATCAAGAGGTTGACTCTGGTTTTGATCAACATATGATGCCAGCTTCCGTCATTCGGTCGTTAACTTTTTAGACCACATTGGATGTTTTCTCCTCAGCTGCCTCTCATGTGTTGGTTGACTTCTTCATAAACAGAACCATTTACTGTCTTCCTTTAAGTATCTTCTTAAAAGTTTTATGTACTGTGAAGCTTAAAACAATCCAACTAGGGAACAGTTATATTGCAGGTATATTAATGCCAACGCCTATCACAGTAGTACTGTTTCACTGTGTTTGTACTCTGCCATAATTTCGCTGCTCTCTCTTTATGTAGAATTCCAGCACATCTACTTTTTGTTGTGTATTTATTCATGGCCCAACATAATGAGAAATGGTCCAGGGTGAGCACTCCCGATTTATGGTAATTCAAATAAATGATAATGAATACCCACTGGATACTGTAGTGTAGCTGCTGGATTCTGCTGTGCCTAATGTCACATCATATTTAACGCAGAAAGAAGGTGTTCCAGCTAGAGGCCTCACAAAAGGGAAGAAGTGAGTTGCAGCCAACAGATAAAATGCTAGCCCCAGAGGCCTTCTCAACTGTCAAACCCAAGTCAATAGCTACTGGCATTGCGTCCTGAAAACATCCCTCTCTTCCCTTCTCCACAGCAGTAAGAACAGACTCCCCCTTCTCATAGAAGGAAGTAAACGCAAATATTACAAAGTTCTGCAGTGTGTGCAAAAGGTTAAAGGACTTTTTATACTTCTGTAGTATCCTTCTGCTCCTTAGTGCATTCCCTTCCTGACACAGCATCTCTTGGTACAGAAATCTTGAATAGTCACAAGCAGTTGTTCCAGCCATACCGCTGGTGAGTACTTTTTCACATCTGATCTCTGTTGAGAAGGAACCTACACTAGCTTTGATCTGGGATCTTGGTACACTGCTATCTTGTAGTGCTCCATTTCCATTGTGCCTTGAAGGTAATGATTCTTCAGAAGAGTGGTGAGCATGAATTCTATCAGGAATTCCCCAGGTATGTCACCCTCTTTCTGGAAGTGGGTCTGTATGTATCTCTTTTCTTTCTTTCAAAGGGACACTGAAATGTCAGAGTACAGATTATACAGAGCTGATAGAATGTTTAGTGCCTAGCTGATACAGGGATGGTAGACTGGACTATGCAGACAAACGATGCTGTATGTACCGAAGAAAATATAGTCAAATAAGTTAATTTTATCAGAATAAACCACAAAACATAATTACAAATGGTCCTATATCTGAATAGGAGAAGTCTAGTAGGAGCTCTGGACTAGTTGATGGAACGGACACAGTGACTGTGAAATACTGCGGGAGACTGGAGAGGCTATGCAACCCGAAAGCTTGATTGTAATAAGAGTTCTTGGTTGTCTATATATAGACTGGATAAACTTAACAGTAGGCCACATTAGGCCACCATGCACAGGCTGTATTTTAGGTATCATCAAGAACTACTTTTTGAACAAACCAGCTGGAGAATCCAGAAGAAGGGGGACAGCCCTTGATTTAGTGTAGATTAGCACACAAGAAGTGACTATAGAAGAGCCATTCAGTAGCAATATCTCGTATCATACTCAAGTTTCCCGTACTTGTGGGAGAGAAAAAGATAAAAAAATGTCCAGTATTGTTTAAAAAACAATTGCATGCAAATGAAGATACAGTTTAAATAAATCTTAAAAGAGACACTTTGCTTTCTGATTCTAACCCAAGTGAATAAGAATTGTCCAACACAACTGAACAGTAAAGGAAGTTACTAGAAATAAATAGAGGTTTTTCAAAAAGTGAAATCCAAACAAGCAAAG